AAGAGAGCCAAGTATGGCTTGTTTGACCTGCCTTTCATGCATAGCAAATGGGGTACAAAAACGACCGGTGTCAGCAAGATCACCAGGGTACAAATCATGGTCCTTGTGGCAAAACTTCACACATTCTGCATCACATTGACTGTACTTCTTTCAGGCTACAAGTCAGCACCCCAAAAGGTTGGTTTGTATAGCAGGTGACGTAACAGAGAAAGGCTGTAACACATCTTGCTTCAATGTGATTGGCCTGAAGCTTGCCAAGCTTCGATTCGCTCGCAAATCTGTGTGTCACCAAGTATAAAAGCATCAAACAAAACCTGAGTTGTCGAAGGCTGCTGCATTTTCACTACGAAAGAATTCTTTGAAGTCAGGGAACTCGAGCGAGAGGCAAATTCCAAGAGCAAAGTCTTTCAAGGCATCGCACCTTGAAAGTCAGTTCAAAAACCAAAATCCTGCCCTTTGCTATTAGTAGCTTCTTGTTCCTAGTAGTAATACCCCTCTGAAGGCACTTCTGTGGAAGCCGCAATTATGAGAAATCCTCCATGCAGTCGAGTTTCGACACGCGCTCTTCTGCCGATGTCACACTCACCTAATTCTCAAGTTACGTATGGCAAGAAGCTTGTCTCTTCAGCCAACTTCAGGACTTTCGGATGTGACTCAAGTCAATGCAAAAAGGTCTAAAGGGTCTTCTGTGCTCAAGGAGATTACTCTGCCAGCTTTCACGTCTCCATCGATCGAAACCTTGGCCACACCACTATTCCTCTCATGCGTATGCTTGCACAGAGGCTCAAAACAAGTTAACACTCTAAACACTCTGACACACTGTTCTTGGAGTCCAGCACCAATCTTGTTTGGGTCAATATCGGCCTTTACCTAAGAAATCTAGGTCGAAGAACTTTGCAACTTGTACTCTGTGGCAACTTCCTTTGAGCCTCCTGCCAAGCTTCTTCTCAGGCCCTGTGCACCTTTAAAGTGTCTAGCATGTACTGGAAAGAAGAGTTCAACAGTTAAGCATTGCAATGGCTTTTCACGGCTGCGGGAAAGACCACCGGTTTGCCTCCAGCTTGTGTGACCTCAGTGCACTTTGGTTGGAAGCCCAAACCAAGAGTTTTGTACAAGACATCAAAGCACCAAGTCTGAGGAGCACTCAAGCCCAGATGCATGGACCATGCAAAGAACAGCGAAGACAATGCCAATCGCAATCAACGCGGAGTTCGCTTCAATGCCTAGCAAAGCGGTTGGTCAAGAGCTTCGAATACCAGGCAAGAACAAAGAATGCTTTCAATCTGGTGTGGGGCAGAGGATTGATTTGTCCAAAGTGAACAGCAATCTGGCGCGCAGCAACAAAGGTATAAAAGTAAGACATCTGGACCGAAAGTAAGGCCAGTGGTGTTGGTGTCTTCCTGCTTAAGGAAGTGTTTGACTCCAAAGGTTCGGGCTAAAGTAAGATGCATAAATTGTTTACAAGATTTCAGGGGTTGTGATAGGATTGTTGACATTATTAATATGCCAGATTATAGAACTTACGCTGGACATTGAAGAGATCATTCGCTGAATATAGTGATATCAGTGTAACTGGTGTTCAAGCAAACATCTTGACACGCACTTTCCTTGAGAAGAGATGCCTCATTCAGATTGAGAGCCTTCCTGTTCCTCTTCATGGTGATGGTCATGCCAGCAACAGGACAATGGTTTTGAGACATTGATGTTCAATGATGCGGGGCTTTATGTTTGCAAGATACCTGCATTTGAAAATGCTTGTTATGCGTGCCGCACTGCTTCACATTAGTTAAACGTTAAACTTGATCGTTCATGTGATTGCGGTTCTACTATTGGCTTGCATTTTCTCGGATGCATGATGTTGGTGATGCTATGAGTCCATATAGGCAATGTCAGCATTATCATATGTATGTCAAATAGTTACAAGTTACCGTTGCAAAAATACCTTATGCAAACTTTCATGAAGGACGCCTGTGGCTAAAGCATCTCAGCGGTTGTTCTTTGGGTGTGTGTGTGTGTGTGTGTCACTCATGATGAGGTTTGCTGCGCAACATGCACAGCCGCTGTTGGGCTGGCCCGAACAGGAAAAACAAAATAAACACCTGTTGAGCAGTTCTTAGGTTTTGCATCTGAATGTGCCTGGCCCAAAGCTGCGGAAGATCACGATCTCCGAGAGCCTTGCAAATCAGGAAGGATAAACACAATGAACTGCAAGAACTTTAAAGTGCAAAGCATTGGCCTTGAATTCGGTTGGACATATCGAGAAACGAAGCTTGCATGATACCTCAAGCGAAGCTCTCATAAACACTATGAACACATCCAAGACCTTCTTTGAGGTTTAGACGTCTCTTCTTCCACCACAGCAATGGACAAAAGAGCCTCGCTAGGTCGTACATTCAGAAGTCTCAGCTGTGAAACGCGAGGCCTTTGAAACGAGGAAGGCCTTGGAGTGATCCAAACTCCAGATCAATGAGCTTGGAAGTCTCATGCGAAAGCAACTCACTTGCCTTGGCAGGCCGTCTCAGGATTCAGTCCCATTCTGGAATTCTCTAAGAGAGACCGCTGTCCCTCTCGCACCAGGAAAAAGCTTACCGGGCCGATTTTCTTGGACCCCGACCTGTGTGCTGGGATCCACACATCAAGAACTCCTGCCTTGAGGAAAATACTGCGGTTCTTTCTTTTGTTCTTGACGCCAAATTCTATGATCTTTTGCATGCTCACCAAGACTCCAGACAGTGCCGAGAATCACTCGACGCTCTAGAAAGGCTTTACCTGCAAAGTCAAGCTTCTTCTTGTGCAAACTTAATGACACCAGGAAACAATGAAATAGCAAATGACATCTTCTGAAACAAGCTTGCAACACTGTCGTAAGCTGTCGAGGCTGATTCTATCAATTGTGAGCAGGATGAATCCTGAGTGGCAAACCCGTAAATCCCAAGCTGGAACAACACAATGCAATGCAAAGGACATGTATGAGGGCAAAACTGAGAATATGCCCACTTGGCAGTCTATGCCTCGGGAAAGTATGTCTGATGAACCAAAAACAAAACAAAACTGTATGCGCTGTGAAACACTCCCTGTAAAGCAGTTGCAAAGGTGTGGGTGTTCAGCCTTTGAAGTCAAGCAGAACATTGGAGTCCTTCTTCCAATCACTGAAGCCAGCACGTGACAGCTGAGGAAAGCGCTCTCAGACCAAAGAGATGGTTGCATCCAAATAAATTCTGGCGGAGCACTTTCAAGCTTTATCTGTTCTTTTGGTGATTCTTATGCAAGTTCAAGGATCCGTGTTCTGCTAAAGGGCACCTGGCTGGAGAAGGTCGCACTCCATCGAGCCCGATGAATTTGAAGGAAGCCTTCGTTCAAAGAAACGAAGCTGTTCCTCTGGATGAATGGGAGGAGTCTCCCGTCCTTTTGTGTCTGATCGCGGCTAAATATACAATAATTATATATATCAAGCTGCATTGGAGTCTGAGTAAAATGCCCGGAGATCCGGAAGTGAATAGGACTCTGAGATGAGTTTGGCCTCTGCAGTGTCTGGTGATTCACAAAACAACAGCATTCGACAAGTATCAATGGCATAGGTTTCGCGCTCCCATACTGTTGCTGTACCATATTGAGCTTGAAGAGCAACGACGGCAATCGCCGGCCTGTTTGAATGAAAGCCAGCAATATCTCATCAGCCACTACATCGCATTGAGGGCATGCAAAAAGAGTGTATCCAGCGTATGCTTTTCAAAAGCAATCAAAGCTAAGAATCTAGTAGGTGGAGGCCAAGGCTTTTGGGTAGAGGCCATCGCTATTAGTTGGAGGCCATTGCTATTAGCTTGGAGGCCATCGCTATTAGGTGGAGGCCGTCGCTATTAGGTTCCTTATGCTATTAGAAGAATCACTGTCGCAAACCCTTCCGCTGCACCTGAAGGACATTAAGAGCATCTACACATTCCAATCTGATTTGAGCAGTTTGGGAAGAGCTGTCTCTGGCCAAATATACTCAAAACATTGAATGCGTTTGTCAATCTGAGATACAATTGGTCATGAGAGGATCAACTGGTTACCACACAAGAGCAAATAAGACCAGCTTGAGAGGAAATTTGCTGCAAATTGCAAGCTGGCTACAGGTTGGTACCAAGGATGCGGAAAGGTTGCAAGGGCAGGGGGAAGAAACACAAAGGGTATCAACCTGAGTGTGTGACCACGTCCTCAGGATTTGTTGATCAGAACATGAATTGTCTGTTGTGACCGTCTCAAGGAAGACTGAACATTTCAAAATCGGTGGCCAAATATGTTCATGGTTCTGGACCACAAAGTCAAGCACATTCCTTACTGTAAACAAACAAACAACTCTCTTGAATATCAAATAGATCATGGCGAAGTTGCACAGAAGCACTTTGCAACTGCAGTGCACATCCGAAGACAACCTAGGTTTCCCTGTTACATACAGAAGATTCTAAATTCAGTATGCGTACAAGAAAAGGGTCTGGAGTTTTCTCGGTCGTCACTGGACAAATCTGGTAGTTGCAAATTGCAGGTCACAGGTCACAGGTAGTACGCCTGTCAAACAAGGAACGATTGATCACACTAAACGTTCAGTGACTCGTCCAGTCACGAAACCCTAGCTATATAAGCACATCCCGAATTTAGAGCTACCGGCTACCTATGATGACTGACCAAAAAACTCTTTGGGCATAATCAATTCTACCTCAGCTCATGACCTCATGACTTATCTTCCGAAGCACGAACTCGATCGACAAATCCATGTCTGCAGGTGCACAAGCATGTGCGCTTTCAATTGGAATATGCCCACCCTGCACCAAATTGCAAATTATTGGTGCACAAAAAAAAGGACATTCAATGTCATTAGCCAGAGCGAGTCCACTTGGTGGACCGTCTGCATAGCTCTTTCTCTACTGCCAAGAACAAAATGTCTGGAGTCTGGAGCCACGGGATGATTTTCTTTGCCCTGTGCTATTCAATTTAGTTATTCGTCATGGATTCATTGTCTACACTGACCGAAAGCACAAGCGGCTCAAGACTGCCTATGTGTTCGTGGTGCACTCAGGCACTCACCTGCTTCAGCACTACGCTGCGCTGCCGATTGAGCAACCAGCGCAACATGCCGAGCAAAGAAGTTCATTAAGTTTGTTAATGAGGACTTTGAATGGATTTGAAATGGAGTCTTTTCAGACCCATTGTAAAGTCTTGCGTCTTGCCCTGCTGAAAGCTACTCGTGAAGGTCGCGACTGTACCACCTCAGATTCATTCAGAGTTTTTCCTTTTTCCAATTCATCCAGATTCAGCAACCTCCTCAGCGTCCTGGATGCAAAAGGCTGAGGGAAGGCGCATGACGTCTCCAGTCACCGCAGTCCTCCACGTCATCTGGTTTCTTTTTGCGTCGCTCCTGGTATGAAAATAATCCACTTGGCAAGATGCAAAGCTTTGGCAAGCATAAGAGCACCTATGGTTTCTGAGGAGTCCTTATGTTCTTTCTTCTCTCTTTTTTCGCGAGGCTCCTCAAAACGAAAGGCTCGAACCCACCCCTGAGATGCTGGAATTGGCAACCGTAGTCAGTACACGTCGATCTCCTTTCGCTCTTTCGATTCCTTCTGCTCCCTCCCCTCCTTCGTGTCCGGTTCCCTTCCTTCTTTTGTTTCCTTTTCCCTCCCCTCTTTTCCTTCTCTCTCCCTGCCCTCTTTGCTTTCTCTTTCTCTTCCCTCTTTTGCTGCAGCTTCTCTTTCTTTGCCCTCTTTCGCTTCTCTGTCCCTTCCCTCTTTGCCTTCTTTGTCCTGGTGCCAGGAATACACTCTGAAGCAGTCGAAGGATCTAATCTAAAGTAGTAAACGGTTTTCTGGCTAATCCAATCAAATGTCCATTGTCGGTCGCATCCCTCGCTTGAACTTCATGTAGGTGAAAGCTCGGACATGCTGGCACAACTGCAGGGTCAGTTTGGATAGTTTGAATTACGCGTCGTTTAAACATTCGCACTCATACGATCTCAATGGGATGTCCCCAACCGCAAAAGAATGAGCAGAATACTGATGCATGCTCACCTCCTGTGATGTTCAGCATCTTGCGCCGATGCTCACAACAATAACAAGTAAACCTTTGTATATAACCTTGCATGACTTTGATCGCTTCTTTTTGTGCCTTTGCTCGTTCTTTCCTGTCTTCGCTCTTTGCCTCGCAGCTAGGTCATTAAACAACTAAATTTCAGTGCGTCATGTGTATATATATATATATTGATGTGGGCATATAAGCGTTAAGACTGCCTGGGTTTGCGGTGCACGGACTGGTGTTTAAGGCTCGGAGTGGTGCGCGGGCTGGTGCTTGGAGTCGGTCGAGCACCAGGTTGGGCACCACGTTGCGCACCACTCCGAGCACCACTTTTCAAGGTTCAAATTGACCCCCCCGCGCACCACCCGCGCACCACCCTGCGCACCACTCCGAGCA